CACAAAAATGTTTTAGAAAATACCAAGTGACAAGGAAATTCTATGGCGTTTTCCATAAATTATTTACAAACACACCATTATCTAAAGTCGCGTCAAGAGCACTGATAGATCATTTTGAAAAGAAACCGAAGCTCACTGTTTTTTAACGAGGCCATTAACTGATACGCTGCGACCAATAGGTTAAGAATCATTTTTATGCCCTACTGTTCTACCCTTTCTGAGACAGAAACGTCAAGAACTCTTTTTTGCATATTAGATGATTGATTGTATCAGAAATACGGTTTTCTTCACCATATGGGTGTGGCAAATCAATTAACTCAACAATAATGTAGAGGTTGCATTTTCTTAGAAAGAGAAAATTGTCTTCTGAACACGCGATAAGATCAATCAATAAATTTAGAGATCCACAAAAAGCTTGTCCGTATATACTATAGTACTCTCCAGCTTATGACCATGCATTTATTCCAGGTGGCTATTACTACGCTAAACCTAGCCCATCTTCCATAACTTACTTCGAGCGACTGTCAAAGGATATCTCATGGTGGTATGCTCCCGACAATGCCTATATGACGTCACTTTGCGAACTTTCCGGTTTAGCGAGATGTGGCGGTTTGCCATTTAGGTACTCTTTTCACTATCACTATCACAGCGCAAGACCTTGAAGGTGGTCTTTGAATCTCTAAAAGACGTGATCTTTGAGAACGAAAGCCATACGAACGGCACGCCAAGGGCTTGAGTTTAGTACTCCTTTCACATTAGTATATACTAGTGTAACTCAGCTTTGAATACTCAAAGGACCGTGTGTCTCGTAGTGCCATTCTCAAAATTTTTAACGCAAGATGGTTGCCATTCTGATTTTTGGTTTTGAATATGGTCCGACCTGGCACGTTTGGCGATAGGAACCCCTTCCCGAGTAGGAGATTGATAGATACCGCCCCTTGTGGTATAGGAGGCCAAACAACAAAAACATGTTTGTGAACAACTCTTTCGCGCAACCGATTTGCACCAAAGTACCTTTGATTTAACAAGATCGCCGGCTGAAAGCGACCGCTTGCTCCCGCTACGCAGCCTGTGTCTCTCTCGCGAGCATGCTCTCTGACCATTCCCTAGCCTTGATTAGGCCTTTCTGCGCCCTTCAACCTCCAATCCCATTGAATCAAAGGGTAGCCGTGTTGGTAACTGCTTCGTACGATCGTCAAAGCTTCATCAGCCAAAAAGCTCGCAATTAGCGCTAACCAACGGATAACCAAGGGTGCTAAGGTATGTCCTAAAGACAAGTTGCACAACAAAATCAAATATAGTGGGGTGTCATTCTGTATTCCATTCATTTCGGAGTCTCTGAGTAGTGCGATAAGAGAGCGCACGCAGATCAGACTTGTAGAAGTTAT